CCTGCCCTTTGTGCCCCCCCCCCCCCCCCCCCCCGGTTTCTGCCCCCCTCTATCTCTGGTTTTTCTTTGACAACAACAGCCCCCATCTTTTCCTCCATTCATCTTTCCTTTCACGGACAACCAACCCATCTTATCTCTCTAATTACATCTCATAAAAAAAAAAAAGATTTGCTGTATTCTTCCCCTTTCACATCTTGAGGGATAGGAAGACAGCAAATCTTTTTTTCTTTCTTTTGCTATTTGTTTTCTTTTTTTTTTTTTTTTTTTTGGGAAAAAGCGAGAACTCCATTAAAGCCAACTGTTGAGGCCGGGAATCCTCACAAACAACCCGGAGCGACACAAGACCGGACCGCTGGGAAACCCAGCACTTGTTCAGTGAGCACCTGGCTCAACAACTCCTACAAAACAAACACGACAGAAAGCATACCAAGACCACACACATGCATTTCTTTTAAACAGTTTTCCATTATCTGTAAAAAACATACCAAAACCAGCCAATCAGACCACTCAGTCCTTCCTAACTCAGTTACCCTACATACGAAGACAAATTATTGCTACTAGTTATCCTACCGCTCCCGAATAGCACAAAGTGCAGCTATTCCTACAAATAGCCAGTCCCCTCTCACTAACCTCTCAGACCGCCTATACGGCAGTTGGAACCTACCGTGGTTCCGCTACCTCCTAGACACTCTCGAACCCCCATCACTCCTGCCTCCTACTGCGGAGCTGAACCGAGTGCCCTGGTATAACTAACTTACTAACCAATCCACGAACTGCAAACCCTTCTCCCCTCTTACTGACACTAATTTGCCACCCTGTGCCCATGTTTCCTGAAACCAAAGGAGCCCAGTTACCCCGCTACTATTTCTCCTAACCTTCCGTCTCCAGTCGGCCGAAATGATCCTTCTGATCAGTCCTTTGAAAGTGGCCTTGATTTCCGGGTCTGGCATGATTCGACTCTCGAAAAGGGACCTGTTCCTCTCCTTCCAAATTACCCAGAACCCAACCGCGTGGATTGCTTGGGCCACGTAGCCCCAACCCTTCGACAGCGCGAGGTCCTCTGGGACCCCTCCCAGTAGGACCCAGTCCCTGTTCCATTCTAAAACCTCTCCGGTCCACTCCTTCCACTGTCTGGCCCACCATTCCCAGATCCATCTGGACGCAGGACAATCCCACCAAATATGGGTTGTGGACTCAAAAGCCCATCGACATCTTTTACACTGCGTATCCACCTTCAGACCACGACTTAGCAGAGATACAGCTGAAGGGGTCGCCAATAAGGAGGCCAGCTACAGCAGGACCGCAGCTCTCGGATATGGAGCCTCCACCAGCTGTTCCCAACACCTTTGCAGAGCTTTACTAATCCCTTCGGTGTCCTCCGAGTGGACACGGGTCCATCTTTCAACCGCAACCGTCAGCGGAGATCGAGCTGGGGCCTGGACGTCATAGGCTAACTGGAGTGAGAATTCATCTAGGCGAGCAGTTTCTCCATGGACACCTCTCCCTCTCCACCCCCATTGGTTGGGATCAACTTTAAGCTCTGAGATTGGCGTCCCCTGATTCCACAGCGCCACCTTCCAGTTCCATTCGTCATCCACCACCTCCCTTACTCTTTATCTCCTTCACTGCTCCCCGTGGGAACCGAATGAATTCCTCCCCATCTTCACATACCTCAAGGTTCCCATCTCTACCCTCGTGTCTCCACCGTTGGAATTTAAGTCCTCCCTCCGTCGGCGCTACCACCAGCTTAAGGAACAGTTGCTCCGAGTCCTGAGCCTGCATCGAGTACCAGGTACCAGGCGGGTTGTCCTGCAGTGGGGACAAGGTCCCCAGCCATTCCGCCGGGAGGGCGTCAATCACCTGCTGTTTCCGAGCTCTGACAAACTTGGACGGTTTTAACATTTCCTGCAGCACCGCATCTGAGCGCCAGGTCCCTGTAATATCGTCCCACATGTCTCTCAGTCTGACAAGTCCCCGTTCCACCCAGCTCCTCCCAAAGCTCCCTGGCGCACGATCTGCCATCAGCATCCTGCCATTACCGTCCTTGACGCATGGGTTTTCGAAGATGATCTGTGAGAGCACCTCCTCCTTGGTTTTCGGAATTTTTCACCTTCCTCCAGGCTTGAAGCACAGCTGACCAGAACTCCGACTTCACCTTTTTCCTCAGAAAAGAGTCAATCCACACACATGCCCATACATCTGTTGGGCGAGATAGGTTCAATTCTCTGCTTAATATGCGTTCCCCCAACAGTGTCCAATGCTTGTCCTTGTCTAAGCAGATTGCTCTAACCACCCACCTTGCCAGCATGGCTGTGTTTCTCCTGCCTGGGTCTGTCAACCCCAGGCCCCCATCCTTCCTTGGGGCACAGACCAACTCCCAGCCACCTTAGACAGCACCGCTTCGTCTTCTCCTGCGAAAGGTTTCCAGATGAACCTGGCAGCTTTCCGCTTAACCACTGCCTGGGTTTTTTTCCCCAAGGGCCTGACATTGCCCACGAACGTAAGGAGGGCAAATAACGCCACGTTTACCACGAGCGCCCGACCGAAGAGAGAGAGATGCGGGGCTCTTCCCCATGTCGACATTCTCTGGATTACCCTGGACTGCAATATCTCCTCTTGCTTCATGGCACACGAGGTGAGCCCCACCTGAACTCCAAGAAATCTCTCAGATTCAGTGTCACAGATCCTTTTCATACCCCATTCCACCGCTGGAACAAAATTTTTCGGCAGGAAAAAAAACCGACTTGGACCAATTTATGGCAGCTTCAGAGAGGGATTCGTATTGTCTCAGACACTCTCTCAAGGTTGACATTGACTCGGCAGTGTTTGTTGTTACAGCAAACAAGTCGTCAGCCAATGCTTTTACCTTGCAAACTCTCTGGCCTAGCTCTAGACCTACCACCCGACTCTGCGCCCGGATGTTATTTAAAGTTACCTCCAAGTGAATCACGAACAGAAGCGGCGCCAGCGGGCAGCCCTGCCGAAGGGAACGTGACAGTTTAAATGGCCTGGATATGTGACCATTCACCATAACTGAAGCAGTAGACAGGGAGTAAAGAGCAACCACCCAATTACAAAACAGGTCCCCGAACCCAACCCACTTCAGCGTGGAAAGCACATATGCCCAGTTAACTCGATCGTACGCCTTCTCCATATCGAGAAGGAGTACTGCAACATCCAGATTCTCTCTGCTCACCACTTCCAAGGCTTCCACGGCTGTCACGATGTTCTCAAAAATTGACCGCCCTTTCACAAAGGCTGCCTGATCGTCCATCACAAGGTCCGGGAGGTATCTACTCAGCCTTCTTGCCAGCACTTTGGCGAGTACCTTGTACGACACATTCAGCAGTGATATCGGCCGCCAGTTCCTGATTTCGTTGGTGTCCCCTTTTTTAAACAGCAGCGAGATGATCCCTCTGCATGCGCTTGCTGGGAGCTGGCCCCCCATCTGAATCTCGTTGTAGACTTCCACCAGGTCATTACCCAGAAAGTTCCAGTGCTGTCTGTAGAACTCCACTGGTAAACCGTCATTCCCGGGTGTTCTGCCGCTCGCCATCTCCTTCAACGCTTCCTCAGCTTCCACATAAGTAATCGGATGGTTGAGATCCAACCGTGCCTGTGTCGACAGTCTCACTTCCGTGTTATGGACCGGTTGCCACAGGCTCCTCCCCTTCAAATTGATGCTTTAGTTCTTTCATCACTGGGGCTAGCCGAGCGGGAACCAACTTCTGAAAAGAATCTCGTGACATACGGTCATAAACTTCAATGCCCCTCACTTTTAATCTCTCCGCCCACTGCTCTGCTCTTTCCTGCTGCAAGGCCTCCCACTCCCCCATTCTGCGTAATCTCTCCTTCCCCCACGTGACCTCCGAGATAGGGTGACATTTCATTCTTTCTTCCGCATCCTGAACTCTCCTTCGACACCGCTTATCCTCCTTATTCCTTTGTAGGGCCAGGATTCTAGAGAAGACGCTCAATAAGTTAGAGAGAATCCTAGATCCTCCTTCCCACCAATCTGCAACTGACGCAAAATTCCCCTTCTGCTTTCCCCATCGAGCCCAGAAGTCCTTAGTCCACTGATTCAGCCCCTCAGACTTCAGGTTGACAGTGTTCAGCTTAAAGTACCCTCTTCCTCTCATGTCCTCCCGGTCCAGTTTAAATATACCGACCACAGGCTTGTGATCCGAAGCCGGATGATTAACAACTGACATCTTGATTAGACCATCTTTGACTCTGCCCGATGTTAGTAAATAATCCAACCTCCTTCCTCTTCCCTTGTGTGAAAACCACGTGTAACCCCTCTCCACTGGGTGTAAAATCCTGAACGAGTCATGAAGCTCCAAGTCTGTCATTAAATCGACCAAGGCCAGCGTATCCCTGGGACATCCCTCGGCTTGTTGAGACAGGGTTGTGTCGAGGGATGTATTCAGGTCGCCTGCAATCACAATATCGTCAACGTTAGGCAACACTACCCCCAATTCCCCGAAAAAGGCTACACGTTCCTTCCTATCAACCGGCGCATACACTGAGACAACAGCCCAGGTAAGGTCCCTGTGTTTGAAGACCACCCAGGCCCACCCACC